TTCCATACTTTTAAAAGGAAAAATGAGAACAGTGATTTAATCTCATAAAAGTGACTTAAAGGAGATTGCATCTATCGACTCATATTAAAGTTATGATGGAGGATTTTTGTGAATTTTTGAAAAACACCAACCCACAAAAAAAAAAAAAAAAAATGCAAATACACAACCCTCTACCCACTCCCGAGCGGGAACGCCTATTAAGGGAGCATGCGAGAGCCGATGTCTACTCTTGCACGCTCTGTTTAAAAGTTGCCGTTGCATCACTCATACAAGCTTACTTTCAAAAAGAAGATGCAAGCTGTGCAATTTTTCCACTATGTCAGACTCACCACAGGTAAGTAAAAATGGGGACGAGCACATAGGACGGCCATAAACATATCCCCAGAATGACTGACAATTAGGAGGACCACTTATTATGCGGAAAAAGAACACCCTCAACTATACCTTTAAAGTCTACAACTGACTTACATAAATTTAACAAAAAAATTTGAATGATGATTTCCCATTACCCTGGCAGCCAGGGTGGCCCTCGGTGGGGATAAATCCATCAGGACACACACAACTGTAGGAGCCCTCCGTATTCAGACAGTTTCCTTCTCCACAGATCCTCGGCATGTTAAAACACTCGTTGATGTCTGTCACAAACAAGCACAAATAGACTCACACAGCTGTGTCAACATGCCAACATGTGGTAACCCATGAAAGCAGAAAACCGCTAATGGTATATGTCAAATTTATAAATACCTCTGCAAGTTGTCCCATCTACTAACTCCATTCCAGATGGGCATGAGCAGCTATAGGAGCCAATGGTGTTTGTACACTGGCCTCCCAGGCACAGGCTGCCATCCTCACATTCATTCACATCTGCAGTTACACACACACACAGATGAGATCAATGCATCAGTTGTGTAAGTTCTGAATTATTTGGTCACACTAGAAATCCGCTTTCTCATGTAAGACGAAGAGCTTCCAGACCACAGCGAACAAATCATCCATCATGGCCTTCAACAGCGTCTTACCAGAGGAGGGCCATGCAGTGTTGGAACAGATGACTGTGAAAATGACTTCATGGAGATTATAAATTCTATTGACCATAGCCAGACATCCCACTGTTTCGTACCTTCATGCGAGAGGCCGACAAATGCTGAGTTGAATCCAGTATCACCGGCCATGCAGGAGAAGGAGCCCTCTGTGTTCACGCAAACACCTGCGAGGCAAACACCTGGAACCTGGCACTCGTTGATGTCTTAGAGAAAGTAAGAGGAATAAAGGGTTACATAAAGCTTATCAGCAGAAAAATCACCAAAGAGTCTGGTTTTGTCTTATCTCCTTGAATAACTTTAATGGATAGGTGCGAGCCAGCTTGAAGTGCTTCCATACACTAAGCACAGTCTTCCTTATTAGGTTGCACTGACAAGCTTTATAGAAAAGAGTGGACAGATGAGAATGTGGGATGGTCATTAAATTTGCAATAGCATGTTATTAGGGGTGACACACAATTACCAAAAGCACAAAAAGACACTTGCTTGCTGATATGTGATCACTGGAAATTCCTTCAACAGAAACAGACTATATTTTTTTTTATTCTAGAAAGTATAAACCAAAGTAAAAAAGCATATATTGCTGACATTGTTGAGCCATAAAACCAATAAATATTGAAACTTGAAAAAGCCTAACCCCCTAAAAACTTGAAAAATGAAAAATGCCAGTGGTCAGTGCCAAGAGCCCCTAAGGGGCTGGGGATAAGTGTTGGGATGAGGAGTAGGGATTAAGCCAGTATGTGGTTAAGGACATGGAAGCTAGCTTAGCTTAGCCATATTGAGGCATGGAGAATTAGTTTAGAGGGACTCTGGTAGTTCATCATGTGGTCATCATCATCATCATTTCAAGCTGAAGATGCTGAGATGCTGGGGATGCAGCAGAGGATAGGATGACCCACTGCAGAGTTGTGTGTCTAAATTAGTTGTATTTTTTTATTCTCACATGAAAACATAAGGAAATGAATATTCACATTAAAATAGCTCCCCATAAGTACCGATTTTACTGTTTAGTTACAAAATGGATCTTGGCCTAGTTTATCAAAAAATACATATGTTAGAGAACTATGTTGAACAGATGTTAAGTTACTTGTTGGGGACACAGAAAATGAAGGTTTGGTTCTGTCCACATCACATCTCCAATCTGATTGACAAATGGTAAATGGCATGTACTTATATAGCGCCTTTATTCAAGTCAGCAGACTTGACCAAAGCGCTTTACACTACATTCATTCACCCATTCACAGACACACTAACACACTGATGGTGGCAAGCTACATTGTAGCCACAGCTGCCCTGGGGCTCACTGACAGAAGCGGGGCTGCCATACACTGGCGCCACCGGGCCCTCTGACCACCATCAGTAGACAATGCAGGTGAAATGTCTTGCCCAAGGACACAACGACACTGAAAGTCGGAGTCGGGGCTTCAACCGTCAATCATTCAATTTCAGGGCAAACTTCTACATCCAACGAAGAGTTGTGATTTAGTGGTGATTTAGTGGATTTAGGGCACATAGCTTGGAATCCTGAGGTTGTAAGTTTGACACCCACCCCCATAGACTGCCACTCTGGCTCTCTGAGCAAGACCCTTAATGCCTGATTGCTCACTTGGTGCCAACTGCTCCCCAAAGGGAAGGGTTAAATGCTGAGATACATCTCTCCAAGGTGAGATCAAAAAAGTTCAATTATTGTTATGAATAAATACTTATTATGTGTTTGAAAGTAAAAAATGCAAAACCATTCCTGGGGATACCTTGTTTCCTGCAGACATTTCAGTAGTAATTCTAGTTGGAAATCACACATTTTCAAGATGGATGCTGCTACAAACCCTAATGTTTCAAATTAGAGCTTTTGCCTTAAATAGTTATTCAACACTGTCTTCCAGTTACAGGTAGACTGAGCTTGCCACAGAGGACTTTTAATCCCTCTGCAGGATGTTGGCTTATTTGGCCTTCAAGCTAGAGCACTCAGACATTGTAAAACAAATATGCATTTTTAAACTCAAACTTCAGTTGAAAGACTTTACTATATGTGCCTTTGTCATAGGTGGAACTTTTTTTATGCACAGACAACCAATTTCACCTTTTTACATTTAAAATTTCTAATTTTTATCCCAGAAAACACAAACAACAATCTTAAGCTGAAAAGAAAAAAAAAGTAAAAATGAAATCATGTGTCCTTTGTGTCATTGAGATAGCTGTGTTTGCCTTCATCAGGACAAACTTGCCTTAGAGCACTGTAATAACAGGGAAGGCGGTGGAATTCATTTCACATTAAACCCTTATTATTTTCCATGGCACCAGATACATCCATTAAAATCCCATAAAAGACTGACTTGGACTTGTTTTGTGAAAATCATTTCCCTTTGCAAAGGCACGTATTAGTGGGGGATCTTCCTCTCAGGCTAGATCCACACTCTGGTATAAATGACAAACTGCATGTTTGAACCTCTTTCATGTAATCATTGCTTTCTTTTCTTCCAATGAAGTCATGACATATCTATGCTCATGGGATTTGTCAGAGCTGCCATTGCACTGCATTGATCTAACAAATTATGTCAAGAAGGACTTAAAAATGATTGTAAATATCTTTGCAAATATTTCCTATGATGACTAGAGCCTGATTGTGTTGATTGTTTTTTTTTTACCTTCACAGGTGTGACTGTCCTCAGACAGTTGGAAACCAGTTCCACAGCTCCTGCAGGTGTAAAATCCTGGGGTGTTAATGCACATCTGGCCGGGACACAAGTTACCCATTGCGCACTCATCCACATCTGGAAACAAATGCACATCATAGCAGAAAATCACCATCACTGGATTCCAATAAATAAATACTGCCAGTTGCAATCAATTAGAAAATGGTCTTATGGGCTGCACTATCTACAGGATAGTTGCCTGACATCATCCTGTTCTATTTGAGGTTTAGTGTCTCACTGGAGTGAGCACAGATCAGAGAAGTGATGCCAAATGATGGAATACTCCAGGATCCAGCTATGATGTTATGTCTGAGAGGTATTGGTTTAGTATGAAGGTATTTTGGCTCCCAGCTGTCACACCTGATGCTCTGTAAACACAACCTAGAACAGCACTGAAAATTACATATGAAGCTTGGCGTACTCCTACTTTCCTGAAGCTCATCTGGCTCAACTGGAGGCATGTTTGAATAAAAGCACTGGCAGTAAACACTACAAAACTTCAGCTCTACCTTCACACTCTTGTCCATCAGCAGAAAGTGTAAAACCAGGCTGACAGGTGACGCACGTGAACGAACCCTCTGTGTTGGTACATTTTCCCTGAGGACATGTAGTTGGAAATGCACACTCATCGATATCTGTTGTGAGACAATGCACACATTAAAAAGCTCAAAGACACAGAAGCCATGTTTATACTTTTAAAATGCATTTTCAATTAAAAGAAAAGGCCACATATGGACAGTAAAAGACTGGATAAATAGTCCAGAACTAAGCAGGACAAAAGCTCTAAGCACACAGCCAGAGCTGCACTAGAAGAGTTGAAAAAAACCTTTAATAGCGCATAATATTTTTATGTGGATATCACTAACTGGAACTCAATACAAAAAGGATTAGAACCAAAAAGTTATATCAGAGCATATTGACAACATTTGGTAGGATGCAAGAATTTATTGTACAAACTCTTTACATTGAAACTGGCTGAGCTCAGGTTAGTTTGCTAATAAAACAGGTGTTCAAACCTCTTAACCTCAAGACTTCTGCAAAGAATTTACTGTATGTTTTATTTTTATTGGTAAAAGATATAAAAATGCATGCAAGTTTGACCTCCATTTAACAACTGTACTTTGTATTGATCTAGCACATAAAAATCCGGATAATACACAAGAGTTAGTGGTTGAAATATGAAAAAGAATGTTAACTTCTTTAAGGCGTGTGAAAATTTTGTTCAGGAAAAATGATACCTATTTAATCATAAATGAATCTACGCTTTTTTCCCATCAAAATCAGATTTGTAATCAAGCAGTTAGTAAATGTTACACAGAAGTCTTATTACAGGCTATCATTTTTAACTAGAAATGCTAAATAAACCAACCTTGACAGAGTTCCCCATCAAAAGACACTTGATACCCCGCAGGGCAGTTCTCACATCTATAAGACCCCTCTGAGTTTAGACAGATCCCGTTGGAACAGGTAGACCGTGACTGGCACTCATCAATATCTAAGGAGGACCGACACATAGACACACACATACCTTTTTATTTATACTGAATACAATCTGGAGAGAAACCCATTTCATGGGAAAGAAAATTTCCCTGAGTGGAGAGATGTGCTGGGAAACTCTTTAACAATGGTAATGGTTTTACAGAAAGAACTGCTGGAGAATGAATGTACCGTCACATCTCTGCCCGTCCTCAGACACGGTATAGCCAGCTTGGCATCGGGTACAGATGAACGATCCCTCTGTGTTAGCACACTCCCCTTTAAAGCAAAGGTCTCCCTGTGCACACTCATTGATATCTGGAAACAGAAAGGACAAATTTCCCACAAGTAGGTGAAGGTATTATCAACTTACAGCAGTGTTTGAGCAACACATCAGATTAGTGCAAATCATTACAAAGATCTTTTCTTACCTTCACACTTCAGCCCATCAGAGGATGGTCTAAACCCAGGCCCGCAGTTCTGGCAAATATAGGACCCTGCTGTATTGATGCAAATCCCCTCTGGGCACGCTGTACCAGATGTACACTCATTGAGGTCTAGAAAGAATTATGTGAAGTATATTGTGAAGACATGATGTTACTGCTTGAACACCTTCGTTAGCAAAGGGTTATTCGCCGATGAGTTATACTCATGATTTCTAACAGACCTTCACAGGATTTCCTGTCTGAGGAGACTTGGTAGCCAATGTTACAGGTGCACTCATGGGTGCCGTCCAAATTGACACAGCGGCCGTTCATACAGACTCCCAGTAGCCCACATTCATCCACATCTGGAGAAATGATACAGGATGAAAAAATAAGGATTTTTTTTTAATGGCCGCAAACACTTCTGTGGCAATTTTATAAGCCCATAGAGGTTCCTAAAGGTTTCTGTAGCAGCAGAACTGTCACAAAGCTCCTGCTAAGTTATGCTGCATGAATACCCTCTGACTGACAGGTACCTTGACAAACATTTTCTGGCGAGAGCGTGTAGCCGTAGAAACAGTTGCATATATAGGATCCCTCTGTGTTGACACACCGACCGCGACCGCATATGGTTTGGTTCAGGCACTCATTGACATCTGAGAAGAAAGAACAGCATATATTAAATGAACGGGAACAGGTTCACAACACAATATGCTTTAAGTGAAAATGAAAATACAATCATACAAGCACATACTGATTTTTCATCTGTTTCAAAAGCATTATGAGTGATTCAACGACTCTTTAAGGAGGCCACCAGACCTCAGAAAAGCATCTGAGCCACTAGAGGCATCACTTTCAGACCTGTTCCCAGTGCGTGCTGTACTCCGAGAGGGCTGCCCTCTGTCACCGGTTCTGTTCATAACCTTTATAGACAAGATCTTTAGGCACAGCCAAGGGCCGGAGGGGGTATGCTTTGGGAACCAGCAGATCTAGTCACTGCGTTTTTTTGATGACGTGGTTCTGTTGGCTCCCTCTTGCCAAGACCTACAACATGCACGGACTGTTTGCAGTGTCCAGGGTGAGAATCAGCTCTCCCAACTTTGAGGCAATGTTTCTTGACCGGAAATAGGTGGTAAGATCCCTTCAGGCGAGGCTCGGAGTCGAGCCGCTTCTACTCCACATCAGTAGGAGTCATATGAGGTGGCTCGGTTATCTTTTTTCAAATGCCCCCTAGGCGCCTCCTTTGGGAGGTGTTCCAGGCATGTCCCTCTGGGACAACACCCATGGAATGACCCAGGACTCGCTGGAGGGACAATGTCTCTAGGCTGGCCTGGGAGCACCTTCACCCAGCAGAGCTGAAGGAGGTGTCTGGGGAGAGGAAAGTCTGGGAGTCTCTGATGTGACTGCTGCCTCCTTGACCCAGTCCCAATGAGGCAATGACTTTGAGTAGGGGAATTTATTAAGTGTTATTATTTGCATTTTCTTTTGAATAAGATAATGCTTTATGGTAAGAGAGACACAACAAGGTGTTCAAAGGAGACGGAATTTAAATTTTTTTCCCTCCAAAAACAGAGAAGGAAGGATGTTCCTGAAATGCGATACAGAAACGCAGAAAAAACAACGTAAAAAAGTCACAAAGTTGCTATTGTTGTTCCAGCCACAGGCAGTGCCAGACATCCATCAGTGTGGTCCAGCACTTTTTCTATAATAATCCAGCATCACTCAGGCCTCACCGATAAGCCCAGACAAGAGAAGAGATCTGTTTTCTATATCACACCAACCATTAGGCTTATCCTCGATTTGGCCAATTGGGCCTAAACAGCTGCACTACTCTGCTGTCAGACTGAAACAAATACTTGAAACCAAAAATCTGAGGCTGCCTGTCTTATGTGACCCCCGGAGTGTTAAACATAAACTGTAAACCCTGGTTTTACCTTATTTGTAAATGTTCAGTTAAAAGATCTGCAGTTAATCCTCATTTACAGATATTACACTGTTTAATTCTGGTTTTACATTTTGCTATATAACAGCTGCAAATTATGTTAAAGCCTGAAATTTTTTTTAGAGAGTATTTGCAAACATAAGGAATCATAAAGATCAAGGAACACTGCATATAAGTTTGGACTAACATTTTCAATAGAGTACTTGCAAGGTTTGCCTACATAACTGCAGATTCAGCAAGACAATGCCATAAACAAAGTGGCCAAAGAGTCCAACTTATCTTTGGAGGAGCTGCAGAGATCCACAGCTCTGGTAGAAGAGCAGTCTTAAAACAACAACCCTAAAAACACACTTTTCATTTTTTTTCTCTTTTCATTTCACCTCACAATTATGCCCAATACTGTTGCTCTAGTACGTGCCAAATGCAGAGACGGAAGCTGAGGTCGTGTCTTGCAAATTTAATAACCAAATGATGGCAATTGAAGCATAAAGCCAAAAATAGCTGAACAAGGAACAAAGGGAGATACATTGGTTAAGAAGGGAATGAAGGAATGAAGAGAGTGCAGCAAACAGTAACTGAAGAGGAGGAGTATATATGCCAGAAGGAACAAATAATTGAGTAATCAACTGATTGGGTGCAGGTGTATACAGAAGGACCTAGAAGGTAGCTAGGGGAAGGAGACTGACACAAGGGGGCAACACAGAGTAAACAGGCATGCAACCAGAAAACAACTCGAATGACACAAAATGGAAATTAAACCAATGAAAACTTAAAAATAAAACTTAAACAGAACCAAAAAGTGCAGAACCATGACAAAACCTGCTTTGCCATGACCTAGATGACTGAGAATTTGGAAATGAATATGCCCCAAAATTGTTTTGGTATACTAAATCAAATATCAATTAACAATGTAAGAAGACACAATAGTTTTGCAAGGAGCTGCTTTTAATAGACTGAAAAATGCTGAAAAACTGACAACAGTGTTATAACTTTTAGCCTCAAGGGGCGCTACACATGTGGCTTCCAGGTTTAGTGAAACCAAATGGCATTACTGCACTGTCTGAGAATTAAACAGTCTCCTTTCATGTTTTGGGATCTTGGAATTACTTGTCAGACAAGGACACATTATTCCCCTCTAGATTAATAGATCAGAGAACCAAAAGTATGTCCGATCAGGTCAATGTCATAAATATTTTGTCACCTAACAACAACTTTTACTTCAGTTAGCTGTTGTGCTTAAGGGGAGCTCAGACTGCTCTAAAGTAGTGGTCTAGGTCACAAGCCTCATTCAGTGATGGATCTCTAAAGTTATTTAAGCAAGTTTCAAAGCAGAGCAGCCCGCATGTAGCATTGATACATGCCAAGTGCTTTATATCAACACCCAAAATAATCAAATATATATCAAATTAAGCTAATACTTGGGTCAAAAGTTACACAGTGTGACTTTAAGTGCAAAAATAAGCATCACCAACTGAGAAAATTCATAATAAAAAATTCAAAAAGCTCCTCTAAATTTATTCATAATATTTTCCGTTAGTCATGTGCACATTTCTGGAATAGATGGGGAGCTTGGATTTCCAAACAAATTAGAGGTGTGGAAGGTCATCAGGAGGGGAATGGATATGTAACGCCAGTAGGGATGTTATGTAACAGGGCTACTTTCAGGTTGGAAGCTTATGTTAGTTTAAAGACCGTGTTAGTTTTAAGAAAACGCTCCCTATGTGTACCGTAGCGACCATTTCTAATCAGTGATAGGAGCCTTAAACCACATTGCAGACAGCATCATGAGTGAGAGGGAAAGTTTATTTATGTGCCATGACCTCCTTGCAGTAGGGAACCGACCTTTTGGCCCACTCGTACATCTCCTGTGACTGCTTGCTTCTCTCACCTACCCCGACGGCCGTAATAAAGCACGGCTTGCCTCTGCTGGGCTTCACATTTACACTGGTCAGAGCTTTCCAACAATAATACGCTGTTTATTTAACGTTTGAGCCAAGAGAAAAATATTTGGACTCTCCCAAATTGAAGTATTATAAACAATCTTTTTAAGGAACCGCTGATATGAAAAGATCAGCAATAACACACAGAATGAGGTTAAACAATAACAGGAATATGCAGCAGCAGGGAGGATACATGGAATCACTAAAGGAGCAAAGAAAGTGGGGGGCCATCGGATATAACCATCATTAGCTATGATTTTATGCTGTAATGTGAGCTTAGGAATGTTCCACATAGGACCTAAAATATCCAATATAAACGCAGCTGAAGCAAAAGATTTCATTTTATTTCTTATTTTTATGCACACCAGTAGAGAGAAACCCTTTGAGCATTAGGCCATTAGGCTGCAAATTCAATTCAGCTAATGCTACTTGGTCAACTGCACTGCATCACAGGCAGCTGACTGTTCTCTAAGTTGTTTTATTCACCTCATCAATGCCAACAAAGAAAAGGAGTTACGTCACCATAAACTATCAAAAAAAGGCATTACGACACCAGAGGGAAACCCAGCTTAATTCCACAAATCAGCTTGAAATGTCCTGGGGTCCCTGTATAAGGGGGTTTGGTAGTGGTCCTGCTGTTTTGATGGGGTGTTAGGTTGCCTTACCCACACATCTCCCACCGATGGGCCTGAAGCCCAGGCCGCAGACCTGGCACTGGAAGGAGCCAGGAGTGTTGACGCAGATTCCATTGGGACAGGAGCTTGGATCTCTGCATTCATCTATATCTGCTCAGGGAAAAAAATTAAAACATTGTTTTATTTAGCTGTTACTACAACAAGCTTCCTTAAACAATGCATGTATCAATGGAAGAAAGTGACTCAGAGATGGAGGGAGCTGAATGGTTCTCTGGGCTTTGAGCAGAAGAAAATACAATGCATGTTTTAAAAAAAAACCCAAAATAAATGGTTATTTTGATGACTGAACTCAACTCTGTGTGTATGATTTTGTGCTGATTCAATCAAATTACCTTCACATAGGTCCCTCCATGACTTGGCGTAGCCGCTGTTGCACTCGCAGGTATAAGATCCTTCAGTGTTGATGCACTGGCCGTTCTGGCACTTCTTGGCCATGCTGCACTCGTTGATGTCTGACAAAACAAAGGGAAAAGAAAGTCATTGTTTTTTCATTATTTTTCAAATAAACAACACAACAAATAGAAAATGTGATGTACTTAAAAAAAAAAAAGAGACTTGAGGATGACTAAAAAACATGACATGCCCTTCTGAAAACTGCCCTGTGTCTCACCTTGACAGAACTTCCTGTTCTGGGTTATCACCTGGCTGTAGCCGCTGTAGCACTGACACGTGTAGGAACCATAGCTGTTTATACAGCGGCCTTTCCCCTCGCACGGGTCCGTTTCACACTCATTTACATCTACAAAGGGAAGAAGCAAAAGGCTTAAATTGTTGCGGTATCTGCCAAATAAAGCAAGGGCTTCAGTCAAGGCCTCAGTGAGACGTTTTCACATATCCAGGGTTGCTCGTTTGGCTGTTGTCAGGAATCATGAAACAGGATAAACCAAAATGCTGGGGAGGATTCTCAGTCATCCAGGTCACAGTAATTCCAAAAAAGTTGAAAAACAAACCACTGGACTTTGTTTTCCAAGTTTTAAGACGTTTTGCTTCCCATCCAGAAAGCTTTCTCAATTCAAAGTCTGAAGTAGCGTTTGAGTTAAACCAAAGGATCCCTTTCAGTTTTGCTTTGCTTAAATTTTCTATACTTCTATGCTGTGTCACAGCTAGACAAAGCCTTTATACAGATCAGCATCATAACTTTGATTGTGTCCATCCATAGATGAACTGAAAACTTTAGTTACTTTAGTAGTTTGATCAAAACTATAACCTTGTGAATCATTTAGATTTATTACAGTAAGAGAAATCTATTTAATATATTCTATTCTCATGATTTTGGGAGCCAAAATTTAAATTCAATTACTCAAAAGAAAATGCAATTTTAACATAGATGTGAAGGCCAAAACAATCAGAGAAAAGACTGCTGATTTCAGAGTAGTATAGTACTGGAACCCTCCACATACAGGAAAAGCCAACAAAGGTCGTTTCTTAACAAGGTTCTTCACACAGTGCTGAAAACTATGAGTAGAAAGAAAAATCAGTTATCGACTGCAGCTGGGGTCAAAGCTTTAAAGGTAACCACACACAGATGAGTTACTTCTTCATCAGAGAAAATTCATGATATACCTTCCTCTGATTAAGGAGAAACCAGAGCAAGACTGTTAGTATTATTTAGTTATGCAAAGTCTTTTATTAAATGTTGCACCTCGTATGGAGATACGTAGAAGTTTCAAACTTTGGCGGAAGAGTGGAAAAGCAAAAAAATTAAAGATAGTCAAGGTCCAGTGAGAAGTTTTTTTAGTCAATGATGATAAAGGGGGATATTTGACCTCCCCTATTGGTTCACCATATTTCATTGAGTCCAAAATCAGAGCAGCCATGGACCAAGAAGTTTTATTGCACTTAATGCTCTCTGGAGCTGCCAAGCTTTACTAAGAGGCCGATTTCATTCTTCAGCAGGATTTGGCAAAGAAAGTAAAAAGTATGAATAATTGGTTTAATGTGTTGATAAGTCAACAAACCGGCTTGACGAAATTTCAGAGAAACTGGAATTTGAGTTTTTTTACTTAAGACATAATGATCAAGAATAACAGAAATAAACTGTTGAACTACAAATCAATTAATAAATCACAAAATCGTTGAAAACTTGGTTTATTTAAATAATCATTTATATAAGTGGAACTGAGCAAGACTAATGACAGTTGCTCAGCTCGGGGCGGCTGTGACACATTAAGTAGTCATCTTCTAATCCAAAATTTGACAGTTAAATTCCAGCTTTCTCCTACCATGTGCCAAAGCCATTATTTGCAAGCCAATGTACAGTACACATTGTTGTATGTACTGTATGTGAGTGCATCTATATGAGCAAGGTTGGGTGAATGTGGCTCTAATACAGAGTACTTTGACTGGTGATTATATCAGTCATGGCTATACAGATTCAGTCCAATTACATCATATACACATTATACACAGTCTGGTGTTTTCAGATGTCTTAATTTCTAATAAATACAATGATTATTTGCTTACAGCAAATTAAAAAAATACATTTGAGATTAGAAAATTACAGACCAATCAGACCAAAAATAAATTATTTTTAATACAGAAATTTGATCTATAGGGAAAGTAAGTATATCACCTATTTAAAAGTTGTAACAAAATGTACTTTTAATCTGGCAAAAGAGCCCCATCATAATATATATTATTTAACATGATATGATAATAATTTCCATATATATCCAAATATTCTGATCTATAGATATGAACCTATGTCTCCTCCTTTCTTTGTTACTCACCAATGCAACTGTTCTGCAGTGAATTGAGCTTGAATCCTGCCTCACAGTCGCAAGTATATCCAGACTGCACAGGAACACATTTTCCTTGGCCACATATACTTGGAGAAGTAGTACATTTGTTAATGCCTATGAAAGAGGAAAAAGATGTACATGGTCATTACCCAAAAAAAGACAATAACATTTCTGACCCGACATTAAAGGAGCCGTAAAACATTAAAAAGAGCATTCCTGAAACACATGGAGCTCCGTGGGTAACAGTTTTGCTAGTTTATAGGTGGAGACTTGGTCTGGTTTAACAACAGTGTAGAGGTCTAACAGGTGGTTACAAAGATTAATAGCAAAAAAAAAGGGGTCAAGCAGCACCAAGCCTGACATTAGCTTCGATCCTGCCTTCTAACTAAAAGGGGTGAGATAAAACAAAGACATGAGTTGATTCTTAAAAGATGAGAAAAGCTCTATCTCTCAATGACATCTGTAATTCTCTTCACTCCTTTAATCGGTCTGTTAATCATAATTTAAAAGTTCTTCCCTTTTTTCTTTTCACCTGTTTCAATCTTTTTTTTTACATTTGACCTTTGTTCACTCATGATGACAAACCCATCCTAGAGGCACAATCACCCTTGGTTTCCTCCTACCCTATGAGAAGCACATCAGCTCAAAGCCAATTTGGCTCTGAACTACGGGTCAAATAAAGCTCTCTCCAGCTTTACTTTGGATAAGCTTACAAAAATGCCTTATAAGAGGTCCCGCTGTCTGCCAGCTGTTGACAGAAAACATAAAAAATGAAGAATCGGGCTTCTTTTTTAAATGGTAGCGCTACAGCCCTCCTCCCATCAACTAATTTAGATTTAAGATGTATGTACCGTTATGACATAGCTTATTTTCTTTACTGCTTTCTTTTTTTCTTACCAGTGACGGAAACCCGGGGGCTTGTTTCTTTTAAACCTGGTCTCAAGTTGAAGCCAAGGGAGTCTGGAGAGGTCTCTACAAAAAGGAACGAGGAAGGTCTTAAAATACTTGTTTATAAATGAGCAAAAATAAAAAAAATATTCTGGCTACTACTATATAATTAATGTACAAACCTTATACTTAGGTAACCTACAGTTCATACATAATTCAAGGCCGTTTTTGCATCACAGGATAAATGAAAGAGTTAATATTCTAATTAAAAAGGGCTTACTGATGAAGTACTAAATGAGGCTGATTTCCCCCAAAAGAATTTCTGAAGCTTTGGCTTTTATTAGATACTCCATTATAAGATGTCTGTGACTTGAAATGTCACATTTAAATGAAGATTGTAAAGAAGTATGAAGCAATTCCTAAAATATATCTAATCATCTGCACAAAAACTTTGTATTGTTCAATCAACTGAAATGAATCAAAAGCTTGGATGTTGAAATGAAAGAGATATAAAGATAAAAATATTTCTATAAAGATGTGTATCAAAGACTATTACACCCTCAACTACTAATACTTGTTTAGTTAATGGTTTAAATTATTTCAAATTTTACAGAATGGGACTGAACTGGCTCCTGTAGCATGCATGACCTCGTGCACATGCTGTGCTAAAATAGTCAATGTTGCCAAGCACAGCTTAAACTCTAGCTGTAAAATGTTTACAAGGTTTAAAGCAAAGTAATAAGTTTGTGATGCAGGAATATAACTATTTTTAAAAATTTTGGCAGCACACTGCTGAAAATGAAATAAAACATGAGCCTCTTTTTGCCTGTCATACTAAAACAAAGTGGACATGCTTATGTTAGTTAAAACGTCAAGTTTTAAACAACAAAGGAGAGCAGATATGCAGATGTTATCATAACTGCGTAAGCAAGAAGTCATAATATATCAGAGCATAGCTGTGCATGTGCAAACATAGCCAAATCATTAATAAATTAGTTCAAAACAACATTAGACATTCTACTGTTAGCATTGTCCCATTACAATCAATTTATATCAAAATGCATAAAACTTGCCAAAATTAGCTCAGCGTGTAATTTACCCTGCATGAAAAGTAGGAAGTAATAAGATGACCTGCTAGGATCAGCACAAACTCAGTAAAAGCTAGAAAAATTAATCATACTAATGGTGATTAATCATTTATAAAGTAATCATTAACTAATCCAAAATTCAGACATTTTATGTATTTTTTGTGATTTTTTTTTTTTTTTTACAACATTGGAAGCTAGCACTGCACTGATTTCAAGTCATCCAGACAAGGCAGAGTTTTAACAATATTATATTAGAAAATTTTTAGCAGCAGATGCATACTACAAACAAAAGAAGATCTATAATATTGTGTGTTATAAATAAAATGTTATTCTCTTTAAAAAGTGAAGGGAATTATATGTGTACTTACATCTTTTTTATATATTTCATTGACTCGCAAAATACGTTTAAGTGGTTAGAAATAAATTCAGGATGTAGTCATTTTCCATGTTGTTTTTTGATTATTGAACAGACCAATTAATTGAGTACTTGATTAATAAACAAAAATTTAAATGCATCTCTAATTAGCAAGTACTATCAAAACTAAGTGTAAACATGACAGCATAAGCATAGCTGGAATAGCAAAAAGTCATGTCAAAACAGAAAGCAGACATAATACTTTAGGTATGACCTTTTTATCAAGAAGCCATATCAAAAATTATTTGGAGCATGCTATTATTATTATTATTAATATTTTCTTTTTGTGAAAAGTTCATTGCAAGAAGCAAAATGTGAGACTATAACTAGAAGCTTTTTGCAAAAAGTCTAATATGTCTTTAGAAAAACTTAACACTGTTCAACAATAAAAATCTTTGGAGGCATAATAAAGTATCTATGGCTTTAAAGAAATAGGGATATTGCTGCATGCAAAAGCTAAGTCCGGGAAATCATGCCATAATGATTAAGTAGTTATTATTCTGTATAAATATGGCATTACTGATTTATTAAACTGGGAATCTACTTGGAAATTTGTGTTCTAAAATTTAAGATTCGTTACCTGATATTTATAAAACTTTAATCAAGACATTTCTGCATCATGTATTAATCAAAAAAAAAGTTGTATTGTTAGTATATAAAAGCCACGCAAAGAACATGAAAGGAAAAAGGAAAAAAAATTGGAGCAAATTCAAAGTATAACTTATTATCAAAAAGATGATGCATTAAGAGGGGGGTAGTCACAATAATTTGCAGAGGGTGAGCAGCTTTATGATATAACCTTTTTGTAATAATTTCATGCTTTAAATCAATATAAGTCATGCCTTAAGGTTTACAGCTGTATATTAAATATACCTTTATTATAAAGTGTTACCTGCTGTTTCTTACAACATCAGGTTACCACTTATTGCTAGATGGTATAAAAAGAGCTCACTCTTTTTCAACTTTTAAAAACAATAAATCAAAATAAATCAAGATGACACATTAAATGTAGGCAAACTCTAGACTTTAATGTCAATATTTTCACTGGCGGGAAGGCAAGGACTGAGACTGCCACTGCTGAGCTGGGGGAATTCATAGCAAACACATTACATGTCTGCGCCTGACTCTAATACTAAATCAAACTATGCAAGTCCTTAAACGACAGGTTTGGAGTAATGTTCTAGTGGATAAACGGAGTGAACATTTTACCTGGATTGTAAGGTGGTGAGTCGGTCACAACAGCTGGCTAGAAAACAGACAAATATTACCCATGAAAAACAGTTGAGGCTACATTTTTTACCGTCGTATTAATTTCTTGCCTGCTCTTGTTGGTGAAGTCTCTGCTAATTTATTGTGTCTGTTGTCTACCAAAATGTGGTCTAAATATGTTACATAATCCTTACAAGCCCAGCAGCGAGTACAGCTTACGCATATTGTCCTCAGAAAGAAAAAAAAAACATTTCAAAACTATATGCCAGGAAGTTGACAGAGAGAAAAAAAAAAACTTACCGGCATCAGAATTTCCACATCTGCAAAAAAAAAAAAAAAAAAGGAAGAAAGAAACAAGGAAAGAAACAAAGAAATATGTATTAGTTCTAAACTCTACTAAACAGGAAATTTCCAAAAAGTCTTTTTTTCTAAAAATAAAAAGAGTAACAGCATATACAGTACCCAGTGAAAGCATGCATTCATTTAAAAATAAAAAAATCAGTTTTCAAGGAAATATTTTTTTTTCAATATTGTTATCATTTAGTCGTAGGGAAATGGCTGTTCTAATCGATGCATTTCCGAATTCTCCCAAGTGGTGCCCGACTTTACACGAGTGAATAAAGAGAATGTGATTGGTCGTTTATCAAGGGGGCGGGATTGTTGTGGCGTAAGGTTCGCAAGCAAGTTTGGTTGTGGTCGGTGTCTCAGAAGCATCTTGCTAAGCACTAAACAACTTAGTGCTAGTAGGTTCTCAATGGGAAATTCCATTGGGACCAAGTAGCACTAAATTGGTGACTTAGAAACGACACTGTCAAGCTATGGACAGCGGAAACATGCAAGAGGAGGAGAGTTTTGTGTCGGAGGTCGTGGATGACTCTCCTCCGTCATACATTTTTTATTTAGAGGAGGAAAGTGAGGACGAAGACATTGTGGAAGAGGACGCCAGGGCGGCAGAAGCTTGGTTTGGTGTAGAAGGCTTACAGCCGTACATGTTTGAGCCCTTGCCTCACAACGCTGCCTGTTCTGTTAGCTCTACGCCTGCAGAAGACACATACATCCATCCACGTGAACACTGGAACGTAAATCTATGGTAAAGTAAATGATTCTTATTTCAACCTTTGCGTATATTAGCTGCGACATATGAATCAAGATGCTATGACCGAAAACATTTGATTCACAGATGACCGTTGATATGTGATTGGCCGAATTCAGGTGTACAAGCTGACGTATAACTAACTGGCCTACATAAGATAACAGAAAAAACCCCACAGATTTTAAGAGACAATTTTTTAAAATAGAAATGTTCTAACTTTTAGGACAATATGGTCTGACAAAGAGTTCATTTATATACATGTTTAAGCCAGGATTAATTGACATTTGAATATGACTTCCCTACGACTTAAAGTGATGCACCAAAACGACAGAATAGCAAACGTTGAAGGAGAATGATGGTGTTGTGACGTATGATATGCATTTGCACTAACCATCTTTCCTCATATAGCCTGTATTACCAGTTGCCCTGATATATCTTAGTATTTATTAAATAGGGTCCATGTGGTTATAATTTAATCTGAGCATAAACAAGTTTTCCTGCGAAGACCAAAGAGGTTTGTGAGAGAATATTACTGAACAAACAGCATCAAGAGCACCAACGAACACACCCAAGAGGTAAGCAATAAAGTTGTGAAGACATTAAAAGTAAGTCTAGTTTAAAGTACAGCTCATTATATGAAGATATAAAGAGTATATTCTAAAGCTGCAAAACCTACCAACACATTGCATAAACAATTGTGCAAGGAGAGCATTTATATTTGATTGTGCAAATAGACCCATGGTAACTTCGGGAGAACTGCAGAGATCCAGAGCCTTGGGGTTAGGGTAGATCTCTTAACAGGATAATTATTAATTGGACACTGTGTACATCGGCCTGTATGGGGGAGTGGTAAGAAGAAATTCATAAGAAGTCATGGTTGGACATGTGGTTAAAGGTGCTCTAGTTTAGTGAGAGCAAAAACTTGTAATTGTTTGGACAATGTACAAATGTTTCACTATATGGGAAACATGACGATGGAAAAAATCTTGCTGTTTGGATATTTTTCCTCAGCAGGAGTAAGTTGGTCAGAGTTCATGGGAAGAATGATGGAAGTAAACACAGAATTAAGGCTGCAAAGGATCTAAGTCTGCAGATGAATTTCACCTGTCCTGCAGGAAAACAACTCGAAACACAGACTGAGATTCAACAGCATCAAAAGGTGGATCTACAAAGGGTTAACACAGAGGGGGCTGAATATAAATGCATGATGCTTTATGTGCAGGACATCTTCAAAAACATGCAAAAACTTTTACTTCACATTTACACACCAGTTTATTTCGGTATATCTCTCACCCTCATCTTCCCCCAAAAGACAATAAAGTTTAGGTCTGTTATGTGAAAACAATGAAAAAAAGTTTTAATTTGAAAAGGTTTTATTTAAGCCCAACTTCAGAAAACGGATACTTAAGAAATTAAAACACAAACATGGATGTGAAAATCCTTGATATGAAGACAAAAATCTCAAAATATTTATAGAGCTGTGTGGTCGAATAATAAAAAAAAAAACAACTGACGCTGCCAATAAAACTATGTCTCCAGCTTTAAGTTAGGAAAATATATTCATATAAAAGAGATGTTCTGTCTATGATATTTGCGAGGTGCAGAGAAGCCCATCAGGGTTTCATTTTATTGGTTAGGAAAGAATGTAAACAACTTTGAAAACTGTTTGTGGTTGTATAAAAATGTACTTGGGGGAATCAAAACATCCGATTGATTTTTGGCTTATTGGGAGAAAACTAAAAAGTTACCTGCTGGTAGTCGATGTGGTTGTCGACCTGATTCTGCAGGATACTGTGGTGTCTCAGGGTACTGAGGTATTCGAGGTGTCTCGGGGTACTGAGGTATTTGAGGATTCTCTGGGTACTGGGGTATTTGGGGTGATTGGGGATAGTTGTTGTGTCGTGAGGGCTGGGAGGATGGGAACTCAGAATACCCGTCCTCTAGAGTCACTCCTGTTCTCTGGAGCTCGACATCTTCCAGCTGCCTGAGAGAAATCTGCACATCTGAGCGTGAGTATGTGTATCCATGACCAGCTGGGCAGATCTCCTTGAAGTGGTCTGTAGGAAAGGAAGCACAAGAGCAAACAATAAGTGATAAAAACCATCATATTTGCAGTAAGAGCTAGCAATAATCAGATTCAGTCTGCCATCTGCGAAACAATGTCAACAAAGCTGTCTTCCACATTTATATGTATAACATATCAACCCCTTATGTGATCAAATAGCAAATTTACTGCAGTACTTCTAATGTGTTCAGGCTAGGGGTGTGGGAAATAATCGTTTTGGCGATATATCGTGATATCCGGCTGCCCAATATAATATCGA